AATATAACTAGTTGTGTATTGAAATGAAAATATTTTGGATTAATTCATTTAAGTAAAATAGATTTTTAAACCGACTTCACCTATTTCTCTTTAATTTTTTTTTTTGAATTGTGACTACTAGAATGTCTAAAATTAAACATGTGGGTCCTGCTATTTCTAATGAACAGGAATAGGTTCAGGGTGGGTTTTAGCTATCTGTTTGAATCTTTAGGTCATCCTGAAGTCCAGCCACTCTTAAAAACAGCAGCCAGAAGTTACAACAAAGTCTTTCTGTGTAATAAATCTTTGCAATTTCTTCTAAAATAGAATGGTATTAAATAGCTTTGTCTTTTGCCATTTTTCTCCATCTTAACTGGGAGAAAAAATTATGTTTTAATTTGTTAACATTTTACAAACCCCAAAATCAGAGGATAGTTGTCTCCAAGTTATTTTCAACATGAGATTAACAATTGGATCATGAGGTGGAAAAGACACTATCTACGAAAGAGAAGAGCCACCTGCAGAAAGTCAATCCCTCTTTGTGCCTACTGCAGAGGTGTGGCTCTGGCATGTTTTCCTCTGCCTTGTCTCCCGGATGCAGGAGCTAGAGGCTGAAAATTGCATTTCACAAGTTCCCTTGAAGTCTGGATAACGGATGTGACTTAAGTGTGGCAGAATGCATGCATTTACAAGAAATCCAGAAGGTGGGAAGCGGAAGTGGAGCCCCATATCCAGCAACTATGTCAAAGAAATGACTGACATTTTATTTGACCTACCTCAGATAGTATCATTTCAACAATCAATATAAAACTGTTACAATATTTCACACTCTTTTTATATGAAGTCTTTACAATATGGCTTACTTTTTTACACTTAGTGCCATCTGCATTTAGACTAGCCATTTTTCAAATACTCGATTGCCACCTGTGGCTGTATGGTACAGCTCTAAGGCAGAGATGGCAACCTTTTTCTGTAAAGAGCCAGATAGAAATAATTTAGGCTGCAGATAGATTTTATTGCATTCTATTGGCTCATTTATTTTTGTTTTTAAACAAACTTTTAAAAATGTAAAGGCCATTCTTAGTTCATAGACAGTATAAATTCAGGCTGCTCAGGCTGTAATTTGCAATCCTTGTTCTGAAATATGAAATATCATCCCTTCTGATGGTCTTCTAACGTATGTGCTAAATCCTTTCAGCTTACATTATCAAGAGCAGATTCTGTTGTCTGCAATCATGCTTGGCCAGATTGATAAAGAGACTCTTTCTCCATGTTCTACAGCAGAAGGAAACTGAGGTTTAGAGAATTCAAGCACATTTCCAAGGTCATACACCTCATAAGTAGAGAATTCATTTCTGCCCTCCACCAAAGTTCACACTTTTAGACCTTGCATCATTGAATCACCATTATTAATACTTTTGTTAGCTTAAGAAATGCACCTGCATTAATCCATTTATTTAGTATACAAATATTTATTGAGCAACCACTACGTGCGAGATATAAATAAAAGAAACATAGCCCCTGCCTTACATATAAAGTCATTTTTTAAAAAGGCTCAAATTTCTCATCAATTTAATTTATGAGATACAAAATGAAGTTGAAAATTGATGATTATTTGCTTCCATCAATCAATATAGATGGCAAACCAGATATTTAAGGTTTGATCTAGTTAACCCCAAATTGGCAGAGATACAAAATTTTATGTTCTCACTCTTTTTCTAATTCAAGATATTTATTACACTTGGACATAATCAGGAGATACTGCAGCATGTACAGGACCAAGCATGTACATTCAACACTTAATATAATAAGAGAGTGGTCAGTCCTTAGTTTAGAATGCTACTACATTTTTTTTCAACATTCATATTTATACTTGTTATATATATTATGCATATAATATTTATATTTATATTTGTTCACTCTATGGAGTTTTTACCCACTGTTTTTAGCAGGATTCCTTACAAAACTCCTTGATTTTGCTAATAGACTAGATGAAATTATTCTCTTTTTCAAATTTAATAAAATATCATGTTTTAAGTGATTCCTCTTTGGATCAGTTCCAAATTTTCATCCTCTCCTGGAACTACTGCATTTAATTACAAGCCAACTATACATAATGTTCCTCACTGGAAAACTTATCCCCTCTCCCCCAACATCTCTGCTACCCTTAATTGTGCAGTTGGTCTATACCAGATCATCTTGTTTGAGATTCTGGATAATCTTATGTTTGTCCATGGAACTCCCCTCCATGCTTAAAATTATTTTCCAAATAGTAAAATTCTTAATAACTATGTATGAATACAATAGCTCTTACTAGAAGCCAAAAAAAAAAAAAAAACCTGAGCAGTCTTCTCTTTTTTTGATTTTTCTTTTCAATTCATCTGGCCTATGACATTATTTTCAGGTTGAGTTGTAATTTTCACTGTAACAACTAGCAGTGCTGTCAGGTTGGTGCTACAGCTTTTGAGAGCACCTGTCCTCTCTGGGAAGGCTACAGACACGATTAGATTGAGGGTTAGGAACTCCTGGCAGAGCAGAATCCACATTAGGGGAGTGCTCACAGTATTTCTGGAGAACCCAGTCAAAAATAATATTTTTCTGATATTGTCAAGATTTTTCCAAAATATATTTCTCTTGAATTAGGGGAAAAAAGAAAGGAAGGGGAAGACTGAAATAAACACAAATACTAGGGTTAAAAAAAGAAATCTGTTCTTCAGAGGCTCAGAGGGAAAATCAGGAAAACTTCAAACCATGAACTAGGAAGATTAAGAATGCAGATCCTTAAAATCTTTTAATTTCATTATTAGAAGACTGACTTTATTTTATCCAACAGAGGAACTATTTTCATTGCTAATATAAAAATTATCAAATATAATTTAGTAAGATCAGTTTAATTCAATAATGAAATGGTGGAATCAATGGTCAAACTGACCTTTCAGTTTATGGGTGTGTATACACACACACACACACACACACACACACACACACTCACACATATAGATATCCTATGTGTGCACACACATACATATACACATACAAGTTTGTTTATATACATAAGTTTTTAACTAAATACTGAAACAGAAAGGGAGAGAACTGTAGCAATTTAAATCATGTTTTTATTATTATCATTTATTGTTGTAAGATACATGATTTTTGAAAAAAAAATTCTAGTAGGCTAGTTGGCCATGAACTTGTTTATTTGTCATGCATACTTATTAAATTCACACATTTGAGGAAACATCTTCAGGCTCTATTCAATTTTTCCTTTTAATTACAGGGTGAAAATGCATATAAACATTCTATGAGGTCAAAGAAGGGTCTCTATGTAAATGATCTCTCTCTCTCACACATAAATATGTAAAATATATTTCTGCCTCCTCATATTCACATCTGTCAATGCCAACATCTATGGATATTGCAAAGGGTATAGAAGTGAGGAAAGAGTTTTCACTGGATTGAAAATGTTTTTGTCTTATTTCTATTTTACTGAAACTAATTGTTGAACTTGTTCACTAATAGCATTGCTTTCTAGTTGATCTATGCTTCTGAGAAGCAGAAATCTTTTGTAAGCCATAAAAATAAGCAGTTTTCAATGTAACCAAAGAACAAAATTGGTGGGTGTGAAGGCAAGTGTAAAACTCTGAAGGCCTTTATTGTAACCCTTTCTCTAGAGTAAAAAATATCTGGGCTTGAATCCTCATACATCCTCTTTTTAACTTGGCAAGTTACTTTTCTCAACATTTCTAAACCTTTCTGAAATTGTTGTGGGAATAAATATAAATAATTTCATATATACATATCACTGAGTTTAGTGCTTTACAAAAACAGAGGCACTGCATAAATTATCACTAACATTAATTACTTGTGATTTATTGGGCAAAAGTTTGATTGTAAGGGCAGGAGATGATACCTAAAATATTCTCACTTGCAGCAGACATTTTAAAAATATTTTATTGTCCTGAGTCACAATGAAGTTAAACAAGTTTTTTAGTATAGAATTGTTTTAAATACAGCACAACTAAGAGTTAGAATAGATAGCATTATTTTAAAAAAGGTCCCTGTTCTTGCAGAACTCAGAGAACTTTGTATCTCTGTCACTTTAATGATAATTTACAAAAATGTTTGCATTTCCATTCTGGTAACCTATTTTTTAAGCTGATAATATGTGTTTGCAAATTTAAGAAATAGTTTAGTAAAGTGGTTAGGCTACAGGATTGGAAAACTGATGGTGGTATGCTGAAGTCAGTGTTCAAAATAATTAATAATTAAATATTAGGTATTGCAATCCTGTAGCTAACCTTTGGAAGCTGTAAATTAGCTAGAAGGGACACATGTTTACGTTGTGGGAGTTGACATATTCTACAAATCCATGTATCCCCTCCCCAAACACACACCCCACACACACACACACACACACACACACACACACACACACACCCAGAACTGGTTAACCAGAAGCCACTGATGAAGACACCTGCCAATGTAACACATAATGGCTTATTGCCTTTGGCCAATTATCTTGCCTTTCTCTCCTGCAATTTCTCATCAAGAAAATGTCTGTAATTATAATGTTTTGAGTATTAAATATTTTAATTTGTGTGATCACCTAATATATACTATATGCATAATCAATAAGGAGTAGTTCATATTAAGCCAAAATCATGAAAGCTGCCACAACGAGGAGAAACTCAGAAACTAAAAGTAAACAAAATCACAGGTGCAGTGGCGCATGCCCTAATCCCAGCAGCATAGGAGGCCAAGGCAGGCCTCAGCAACTTTGAGGTGCTAAGCAATTCAGTGAGACCCTGTCTCTAAATAAAATATAAAATAGGGCTGGGGATGTGGCTCAGTGGTTGAATACCCCTGATTTCAATCCCCAGTACAAAAAAAAAAAAAAAAAAAACGTAAATGAAGAACTTTTCTGAGAACAGTGGATTTTTGCTGTATTAACAGGTGTCATTGAGCAATGAGTCTAAATATGCAATGGAAAAGAAATTTGCTGCACTCAAGGCTTTACTCACCATGAAGAGATTGTGGTGTATTTGTGCCCTGTCCTCAGTGGGTGAGACAGGACAGCTGGCTCCTCCACGGCTGCTTTCTTGGTTAGCTTGCTGCCCTGAGGTTGGTTCATATAAGCTATCCGTAGATCCCTCCTGCAAGGCAGAGATGTGTGAGTTAAAGACTAAGAGAAAAAATCATTTTCCTTGAAATAGCACCTAAGTTATCAACCTACCTATACATAGTACTCTGCCTTAATTATGCTAGACACAGGGATCAAGAGTTTATAGTACAATACTTTTCAGCAGCGAACACAACAGTGAAGAAAAGCATTCTCACCACTTACAAGACATGAAACCAATGTAGGTACCCTTCAACAGATAAATAGACAAAGAAAATATGATATATATACATGATAATATATTATTACTCAGCCATAAAGAATGGCATTATGGCATTTGCTGGTAAACAGATAGACTGGAGATTATCATTCTAAGTGAAATAAATCAATCCCCCAAAAACAAAGGTCGAATGTTCTCTGATATATAGATGCTAGCACACAGTAAGGGGTGGTGGGGATAGAAGTTCATTAGATTAGACAAAGGGAAATGAAGGGAAGGAAGTGAAGATGGGAAAAGGAAATACAGTAGAATAAATTGGACATAAATTGTCTGTGTTCATCCATAAATACATGACCAGTGAAACTTTACATCATGTTCAGCCACAAGAATGGGATCCTAATTAGAATAAGTTATACTCCACTTATGTATAAAACATTAAAACACATTCTACTGTCATGTATATCTAAAAAGAAAATAAAAATAAATAAATAAATAACAAATAGTAAAAGAATTAAACGTGAAGAAGCATGATCAAAAAACTGAAGCAATTCCTCAAGAGGCATGATGATGAAGACTTTCAGTTCAAACTCCTATAACGAAGCCTCCTTGATCCATCCAATATACTGTTTGGGTCACGGGATTTAATCACGTGCATCTTTATTTACTATCCCTTACTTGTATAAGAAAGACAATCTGCTATACTTGAGCATTTTCAGCTGTAAAGCAGCAGTTTTATTCACCATGAAGAGGAGCCATAATGATAAAATGAAAACTCTGTATTCCTTGAAATAGCAAAAGTATTTCACACAGATAGTAAAGGCATTAATATTAGTGTTTAGAAAATGCATACTACAAATAATATTCTTTGTTTTTAATCTTTTGTGACATATATAAACCATTGTGAATGATATTATGACTTTTCCTTGCATTTTTGAAGTAAACTTAATTGACTTGCTTTTGTCCTCCATTTTTAGACAGAATGAGTTTTAGTTTCTGGCATCATCTGCAAGCAAACTTAAAGGAGAGAGTTACATACTTCATTCTAGGTACATTAACTAGTGATGCTGATGATGGTGTCATCAATACAAAGGTCTGATGGACTATATATCTCAACTTATTTTTTAAACATACTGTACTGAAGATGTTTTTGTTTTAAAAAACATATTTTATTACCATATTAGCAAAGTAAAGTTTGAGTACACTGTCTACATTTAGAACTTTCAGCCATTATGCTTTGCAGTTTCTTATTTTGCATAACCACTGTTCCAAACACATGGCACATTATTGTGAAAATAAGATGTTAAGGAAGATATGCAGGCTCTAACATTTATTAACATGAAATGAACCCCAAACCAACAGAAACACAGAGTGAGCAAAGCAAAAGAGCGTGCTACACCTTCCTCCAGTAACAGGCAGCATGGGCCAGACTTAAACCTCATAGGGGTAATAAGATGTCTTCCGCATACAGCACTTTATCTGAAATCTAAATGAGACAGAAAAGAATCTTCTGTCAGCAGTTGCTGGGGTTCTGCTTATAGGCAGCTAAAGGATAGAAAAACAAAATTCAAAACACTGCCAGCAAAATGAGATAAAGCTCCCAATGGTTCAGGGTCTGGATCAGTAATACACCATGTATCACCTTGGATGTGAACTCCCAGCACCAGCAATGTACTCCTGGTTCTAAACAGGCCACAGAGACACTTGAGAGGTATGTCTACAAGTAGAGAGAGAAAGATGAAGAAGCCAGGAAGGAGAGCGCGAAAGAGCACGGGGAAAGAGAGAAAGATGAGACTTGTCATTCAAAAAGCCAAAGCATGGGAAGGGATCGAATGCTGAGAAAGAGAGCCAACCAGAAAATCTGAAAATAAAACAGTTCATTCCAGATGAAACTAAAATCGTAAAACAGATGGAGAAATAATTTAAGAAAGAATATTTATGATCTTCACAATGATAAATGAAAATATAATATCTGATTAAAAATAAATAATTTATAATGAAACAAGAGTAATTAAATAGGAGCAAAACCAAACAATTTTGAAAAAAAAAACCTTAAAAATGAATATCATAATTGCAGACATTCATATTGAATAATTGAAAATTGGGATGAACTTCTCTATCCTGAGAAGTACAAAAATGCTGAAGACTTTGCCCAGACTGCAGCATTAGAGGAAAAATGGAAAAGACATGAACATGCAGACAAAGTATATTGAGAGGCTACAACATAGGACAAACAGCAACTCTGGCAAAAGAAAATGATGGCACTTTCAGCTCAATGCAAGAAAACAATAGATCAATTTTTCTTAACCTGCTTTTTAAAATCCTAATAAAATGTCAAGAAAATTAAAACTCATGGTGTATATGAAGATACATCATGGCCTATCCGTGCTTAATACAGGAATGTTAGGATGTTTCAACATATAAATATACATTAAATATTCATGAGAATGTTTATCCTAACAAATCTTCTAAGGCAGTTGAAAATTTTAATATCTGTGAAAAAATCTTACTGTTTGGGAAAAGATGGGACTTTCTTATCCTGATTAGGGTTGTTTATCAAACTCCTTAGGTAAACTCAATTAGAAGTAATTGCACAAATCCTAGTTAGAAATTATATGATGCCTGCATCATAGCATTCTCTCCTGTCAATGTCAGAGAAGAGAGTAAGAAGTTGAGAAGAAGGAAATTGATAGATTGCATTTGAAAATCTGAGTACACACAGACTACCAAGAAAGTTTAATTTAGCAAAATTCTTTATTTGTAATACCAATATCTAAAAATCACAGTGTATATATAAATTAGCAAAAGCAAATTAAGGAAAAAATGTTTATAATGGCAGCCAACGTACTTAGATTTCCAGCAACAAATTGAACCAAGTTTGTGTAAAAATTTCATAGAGAAAATTCTAAAACATCACTAAAGGCCATGAAAAAATTAAATGAATTGATAAAAATAAGGCTGTATATTTTTGTAGATAACTTAGGATCTGCTGTCAAATTATATGAAAATCTGGAGCAGGATTTTGATTAGATGATCCTAAATTGATAAAGAAGAACAAAGACTTTTAAAAGTCAAAACTTGGAAGGAGAAGGAGGATGTATTCTTCTAAGTAAGGTATCTACCTGACATTAGAATTATATTAAATAGGTGTGTCAAAGAAATAGCAAAAGGTGAGGGAAAGAGAGATAGACTAGAAAGTCAAAATAAAGATAGAGGCAGGGCTTCAAATCACTAAAGAAATGGTGCAGGGATAATTGATTCACAACCTCATGGGTTACAAAGTCATGCTAAACTCAATAACTGTATGATGAGCCCAATAAGAAAATCACTTTGCTTCAAATGACCAAGCTTTTAAAAATGCTCATCACAACATAAAATCCCAAGAAAAATTGTGGAGTCAGAGTGGCATATATAAAGGAGTATTTCTGCCTCCCTTTTGAGAGACCCCATTTCAAGTTTATAGATCCAAAATAATAGCAATCACCTTTAATGGATTATTTATAGTACTCCTGGTTCTGAATGGGTAGTTTATTAAGTTTCTGCTTTATATTTCTCTTAAAAACCCCATTTACTAAAAGATTTACAATTTCCCCCCTACACTGAAATAAGAGAATATTTAACTCTTTCACTATTTTCTCCATGATATACTTAATATTTAAAATCACCTGCTTCCCAGAGATTTAAAGGTCAATATATATATTGACCTTTAAATCAATATATATATATGTATATATATATATACATATATATATATATCTTCATTTTTAAATTCTGTAATCTTTCCACTCAATGATTTTCATATCTGAAATGAACAGAGTCCCATGTTTGCATTCTTACAGACAAATAAAATATGTTTTGGATTATGAGTAAATTCCTGGTAAAAGCTTATTAACCACCCCCCACCTTTTTTTGTTTGTTTGTTTGTTTACTGATCATAAAAGTACGCTGTCAGAACACTTTGGTTGAGAATCAATATGCTAATTTTTTTATTTACTCCATGAAAAGGAATTTTTAAAAAAGAACTTTAGTATTTTTCAAATATTACATATGTATTTTCTTATTAAAGCAATTAATTTTTATAACAAACTTTGGAATGCTTGAACACGTGATTGAGTGTCTTTGATGGTTCAATCTAATAAAATGCTTCTAAGCAAGTAACTTCATAAACATAATTTTTAAAGATAGAAAAACATGTTACAGTCATCAAGTCCATGAGCCAGGACTTTAAAGAAATTCTTTATAGTATGTGTTTCCTTCTCTATATTACTGAGAAAAACAATCACGCTCATTATATAGTCATATGTCTTTAGCAGTAGGATTACAAGTGTATGCTATACCATGCTGAACCATGCTATGTTATAGAGACATTAGCATACTGATTATATTACCATTCAAAATGATTTCAGAATGCAATCCTCTTTGGTGCTACACTGCCTATTTCCATGGGAAGTGTATTCAGATAAACCATATATAGCTATTTTAGATCAACTAGAAAAAAATGCAAAATACCACTTAAATCACCTGAAATGGGATTTCTGTAGTCAGATTTATATGGCACAAAGCAAAGTTGAGAGCTGGCAGTTATTTAGTAAATTGGACTACACAGGCAACTTAAACTCGATGATTCAGCCTCTCACAACTCACAATTGCATTTTATTTTTCAAGATGCTCCGAGATTAAATCCCTTATCTTGGCTTAAAATGCCGCCTGTTTAGGTATTGCAATGTATGTTAGCACCATCTCTAGTACTTATGTTAATCTTATTTGCAATTTGGAAAGAAAACAAACATCAAAAGTAGACCATTTTATTTTCCCAAATGAGAGGGATCGCCCAACGACATCTTGAAATGCCAATGAATAGGCTTAACGCCTTGCTGTAAACACAGATAGAAATGAATAAAATTATTTTTAAATCCACTTTTAAGCATTGGCATATGGTCACAATTGCAGGTTAGAATTATAAATATTTCCAGATCTATGACTACCTGATAACTTTCACTGATCCACCTCAGGCTAAAGAAAATAAAAAGTAATAATGTAAAAAAGGAATTTGAGAGATGCTTATACCCTTGAGTGAGCACATCTCCAGGACTGGCTTCATCTATTGTACCTTGCATTTACAATTCAGTGTAACTCAGAAAACTGCCTCTATGGAAGTTAACCAAACCAACATTGAATGCAATTCATTACTCAAACAATAAAGAAAAATTTTTGATTCCTGGAATATCTCAAAGCAAAGCAAGTAACCCCAATGCAGCATATTTTCCAACAGTTTTTCTCATATTAATAACAAGTAGAAGAAAGTAGTCCCTCAAAAGTACTGTGCACAGAAGACCATACTTTTAAAGTCATCATAAAAATACTAAATTACTAATAATCATTGTAGGTGAATGTATTTGTTTTAAGTTGCTTGTCTCTGAACAGAGTTAACAGGCACTAAATGAAAGCATTATTTCTGTTCTTTCTGAAGGGAACTATTTTATGAAACACTAAATGTATTACTGACATCAGGAAGCTTAGGATAAAAGCTTAATTTCACTCCTTTTATTTGACGCAACAACATAAAAATGAGAACGTAAATGGGGCCTATAAAAGAACTCACCAGCGAAAAGCAGAAAAGATTCATTTTGATCAGCTTCAGTCTCTCTTGCTGTGCTTTAAAGAATACGATTGCCCCTGGTCGCTCTGTCTTGCCTTCACAGCTGTTTGGACAGTTCTCCTGAGAGATTATTACAAAATCAAATCCCTGCCATAATCCAGGGGATTCAGCGACCATTATCAAATGAGATAGGTCTTTATTGAACAAACAATTTCCTAAAGTAATGAAGAACCCTGACTAATGAAATGAGAGAATGAGACTTAACCATGATCTGTGTAAATAGATATCAAAGGTGATGGTGATATTCCTAAAATCAGGGGGTGGGGGCAGGATGCAGCATAAACAACTGTAGGTCTAGTTAACTATATTTAAAAAATGAAGCAAAACCCAGAAGGACACATCTTTCCTCAATGCGAAAGTAACCCTTTCCCTTTAAATATGTCAGATCAAGGCTCTCTCTTATGTTCCTCCCCATCTTCCATTCCTCTTTTTTTTTTTTGACATCCACAAAGTTACAAAGTTTAATCACTTGCATGACATGATACAAAGATAAGCACATTTTTATTGGGTCAATATATATATAATATAAAAATTGCCATTTTAGTCACTGTTAGATACACACTTTTGTGGTGTTCAGTACATTTACATTATTGTACAATCTTCCAACTCATCACCAGAACATTTTTAAGTTCACTAACTGAATTTCTATACCTACTCAATAGTAACTCCCCATTTTTTTCCTTCTCCCCAGATCCTGGCTACCACATGCTACATTCTGCCTTTATAAACTGGGCTTCCCTAGATATCAAATATAAATGGAATTACACAATATTTGTCCTTTTGTGAGCAGCTTATTTTACTTACCCTAATGTTTTCAGAGTGCATCCACCACGATATAGCATGTCAGAATTTTCTTCATTTTTAAAGCTGAATAATATTTCATTTTATTTGTATATCATATTTTATTTGATATATTTCATTCATCTATTGATGGACATTTGGGTTGCTTCTATCTTTTGGCAATTGTATATAAGGCTGCTATGAACATCTGTATAAAAATATCTGCTCAAATCCCTGTTTTCAATTCTTTGGGGTATTTACCCAGAAGTAGCATTGTTGGATCATACAGTAGTTCTTTGTTGAAGAGGAACCACCGTGCTATTTTTTACAGTGGCTGAAACATGTCACATTCCCACCCAGGTCTCTATTCTCCACATCCTCATAAACACTTTTTTTTTAAATTTATATCTACACACTGGCCATCCTAATGGGGATGAAGTAGTAGCTCATAGTTTTTATTACAGTTGCTTAATTACTAGTGATATAGTGTTTATTGATCATTTGCATACCTTCCTTGGGTTTTCAATGCTATACTATTCGTCTATATGTGTATATTTATTAAAGTTCCATACTAATTGGATTACAATTGCTTTATAGTAAGTTGTGAAAATCAGTATTCTTGGTATCCCCTT